CCGCGAAAACCGGCTGGCCGTGGACGCCCCGGTCCTGGGCCACCTGCTGCCGCGGCCCAGCCCGCAGCGGTATTTATACCCCGGAGCCGGCCCGCACGGGGGGGCGGGGGAGGAGGCGGCGAAGCCCCGCCCCGCTCCACGCGGCCCCGCCCTTCTGCACCGCCGGGCTCACGGGGGGCACCGGGACCCCCACCCCGGCTGGGGTCGTCTGCCCGCGGTCGGGTGGGAGCCCTGGCTGCAGGGCGGGCCTCCCTGCGGAAAGCGACGTCACGGCCGCTCCCGCAGTGTGAATGAATCAAAATGCCTGGGTGACCGCGGCCTCCCCCGCGGCCGGCACGCGAAGGGTGGAGGGGGAAGGGGAGAGATCGGGCGGGGGAAGGAGGAGGGGAAAGAGCCAGGGCTGCAGCAACAGCGTCTCCTCTACCCGGGATGTGCACCAACCCCGGAGAGCGAGATCAAAGGGATTGGAAACAGACTGAGGACTGGCGGGGGGAGGGGACCGGCCAGCCTGTGGAGTCCTCCCGGAGAGGCCGAGGGCCCGGCTTCCACTGTGACTTCAGCGGCCTGCTGGGGTTTCTTGTCATTATTTTCAAATTTCGGAACCCAGCTAGAGGGAGAGAGCCAGAGATCTCCGTGGACTGCGACTCGCTGGCTCTTGCTCCAAGATGATGCAGAGCGCGGCGGTCCCCGCGGAGGGGGCTGTCAAGGGGCTCCCGGAGATGCTCGGTGTGCCGATGCAACGTAAGACAACCTCCTTTCTCGCTGATTTAATTTGATAACCAGACAGCTAACAGCCTCAGCTGGTGCTGGGCGGGCCGGACGCTGCTCCTGGCCCTGGCCAGGAAGGGCCGGTGGCCGGGGCGCAGAGGCGGTCACAGGGCAGGGGCACCAGCCAGAGTGCGTTTGAAGGGCCTGGCTCTTTACTGTTAGGGGCCGAAGGTGAAAGCTTCCTGGACCCTACTCAGGAGGGCCCAGGGTACCGAAACCCGCCTCTTCAGTCCATGGCTTTTCTGGGAATGCCGGGGAGAGTGCTGTTTGGGGACATCAGTGGGGTTCGAGCTGCAGGCCAGGCCTGAGGGCCAGGGTGGTCCCCTGCCTCGTCCCTCATTCCTGGGTGGCGGTCAAAGCTCGCCGGACCTCTAGTGCAACTTCACCCCGGCTGGCGGGAAGTTGGAGAGCGCATCCCCCGCCCCCCGGGGCTGGCGGCGCGGAAGCACCGGCCACAAGTCTGAGCCGCCCGCGCTCCTGGGCCAGAGTGTCTGGTGCGTCCCCAGCCGCTGCTGCCCGCGGCACTCGCCGCCTGGGGGACCTACTGCTTCTTGTGAGGGAATCTGCTCACCACATTCCAGTTACCCAAGGAATGCAGAGGAGGGAGAGACGCCGAGACGAAGTTGTGAACTCGGGGTTCAGCCTTCGCGCAGGCGAGGGCAGGCCATCAGGGTGGCCCGGATTTGGAGGAGGGAGAGGCTGAGGTGTGTGCGCGCTTTGCCAGCCCTCTCGCTTTCTTCCCGCGCCTGAAATTGGCAAGGCGGCGCGAGCTTGGGGCGTGTTTGTCCCTAGGTCTTTCTGTGTGTATGAATGTGCGCACGCAGAGATTTTCCCGTAGGGAATCTGTCCGTCTCTCACTCGGAAACCAAGAGTCCGTGAGAGACTGAATATGTGCGGAGACCAAAACAGGTCCTCAAGTGTCGCGCGCGCTCGTGGCGGGTGCAGCCTAAGTCCTGCCCCTCTGGCTGGTGCGTTCAGCAGAGCGCCCCTGGGCATCGTGGAGAGAAGAAGGGTTTTCTCGCTCTGCTTGCCAAGGGGCTGTACTTCCGCCTGCGACTTCTTTAGTGGTGCTGTAGCTACGGTATTTTTTTTTTAAGAGCAGGCTCACCGAGGGGATTGTGACCGCCTACGAACTAGGGCGCACCAGCGCGCCCTCCTGCGCCCCGGTTCTCCATCGCAGGATTTCTGTCCTGGTCATACCTCAAAGGACAGGCTGGAAAGCCAGTGCCCTGGGCTTCCCTGGGAAGTTTTTGGGAAGGGATTAAAAGAGGATAGCTTAATTCAAGCCTATCTAGATGTTTCTTCCCTATATCCTACAGTTATTCTTTGAGTCTTTTCGCGTCGACTGTTGGCAGTTTCAACTCTGTGCTGTGTCTTGGGGAATTTACTGCTAAGGTGTTCTGTGGGAGGCGTTGGAGGTTCATGTTGCCTCCCCCCACACCCGGTGCCCCAGTTTGAAGAGATGCAGTGGGCTTTCAGCCTCTGCACAAACAGAAACACAAACTTGGCAAAGGTGCCCAAGTCCTTAAGCTGCCTGAAGCTGTGCAGGAGGGGAGTGCAGAGTGGGGCAAAGGTGCACATGTGTGATTGTGACCTTGGTAGCCGGTCGGTGGTCTGGGCTCAAATTCTTTGATAAGGAGGTGACCTGTCAGGAACAACGAAGTACCCTATCCTTTTGGGGTATACTGGGCTGTGTGGGGTTATCTTAATTTTTGCTTGTCTTGCTCAGAGACAACCTTGGTGTTGGTCCTCAAGCACTCAAAATGCCCAGAATTTGGCTCCAGAGCTACAGTTTGTCAAGGCTCTAGGTCTGGGTTCAAACTGTGGAACACTAAAGAGGTAAAGAAAGGAATCCTTATCTCAGGGTGGCCCACAAGGCAATGTCATAACAAGGGTGGGTGATCAGTGCTCTCTTTTGTCTTTCCTCAGTTCAGTGGCCCATGGGCCTCAGGGGGACAGAAAGGTAATCAGCTGGAGGAGAAACCAGTCAAAATTGAGGGTCCCAATCCCTAAAGACCTTGGAATGTTTTTCTTTTTCTTTCTTTTTATCTCCCTCCCCCACCACCACCTTTTGAAATTTATGTGGATTATTCCTTTCCTTACAGCAGACCTGACCACTAGCTGTTAAACTCTTGGTGCTGGGGCTGGAGGACAGGTGGGGTGTGGTCCCCCACTCCTGTATACCCAACTATTCTCTTTCCTGGGTTGGGCCCTGGGGCTTAAGACCTCAGTGTGGGGGTGCGGTAGGGAGCGTGTCTAGGGGGAGCATACCCACGGGCCTCAGGGGGACAGAAAGGTAATCCCAGGACTCTCAACCCTGGGTTGGAAGGACAAGGAAATACTCTCCCAGGGGTCCCTCCGACCTGCCAACCAGAAGGTTTGTATTGAGCCCCTCCCCTTAGATTCTGCTTCTTCATCACCTGAGCCACCACAAACAGAGCACAGGTCTAGGGATCCCCTTATCTCCGCCTTTGGTGCCCTTACATCTAAGGGAGTTTGGGAAGAATTTAAAATCCAGTTTGTGACAGTCGGAATTTTCTTTCGTTTATTTGAGGATGAGCGAAATTCATTCCCTTCAGGAAAACGTTACCAAGTAATGTAATAATTTCTCTCCCTTCGCCAGTTTCTGCCCACATTCCGCCCTCTTCCTCCCACTCTGCCCCTGCCTCCCGCCACCGCTGGCTCCTGGTTAGCTCCTTCGCCCTCGCGGTGCTGCTCTTCCCAGAGGTGGCGCGGACCCATCCTGGAGCAGCGGGGTCCCTCCTCCTGCGCACCGCTCGGACCAGCTCCAGCTCCTCACGCTCGAAGGGCATCGTCCCGTCCCGGAGCCGAGAGCTCAGAAAGAATTGGGCGGAGGAGGCTGGGAGCTGGTCCCCCACCCCCTTCCACACGCCGCGCCTCTTAGATGGCGGTTTGGTTCGCGGGTCCCGCCACCGCCTCCTAAGGAACTCCCCGCCTTGCGCAGGATGACGGCGAGCGCTCTGACCCAAGGAGCCCGACGGGTCACTTCCAGGACGCACCAAGGGCCCTTTGAAAGGGCTCGGTGTCCTTCTGGGGGCGGTGTGGGTAGGTTTGGAAAGGGGCTTGACCCTAAACTCCTGGGTTCCGACTTCTTCGCCCATGATTTGGGGTCGCAGCTTGTGGTCGCAGCGCGCTCTATCTCTGATCTCTTTATTTATCTCTGTTTCCGGGCACAGCCTGCCCCTGTCCCGGTGGCCCTTGTCGCCGCTTTCAGGCTGTAGGGACGCCGAGGTCCAAGTTCTGAGAGCGCCCGCCGTCGGACAGCGCTCGGTGCGGTGGGTGCGTGCTTCCCGAGCCACCTCCGAAGCTGCCTTCTCGGAACCGAGCGTTGCCCTCCTGCATCTGGCTTGTGCTGGCCCCTCTTGTCCGCTAAGGAGACTCAGAAAAATTCGGGGTGTATGGGAAGGTGGGGCGTTTATGCGCCTTTGGCACTCAGTTTTGACCCATCTTCCAGTCATCTGCCCAGGCACCCAAAGAAGGAACAACTGCCACCCGCAGCACAGCAGCGCTGGTCGGAGTGTGGCCACCTCCGTGGGAGAAAGGAGAAACCTGCCAGGTCCCTCCCGGGTGGTAAAAGGAAAGGCGGCCCCAGGTGACTGCCATCCATCCCCTTGTTTGTCTCCTAAAATGACTACTGCCTGCAAGCCCTAGGAATCCCGAAGCTTTGGGAAAAGGCTACTTCATTCATTTTGTATTTGGTAGGCTCTGGGTGAGGCACTTCTCTTGGGCGTCGCACTACCCCTTTTTCCCTTCCTGTGACTCATTCTGGGTGCGTGGGGACAAACCTACCAGCGCAGGTCGCCTGGCAAGTTCTGGTCCCCCACGGTGTTTATCATCCTGCTTGGGGATTTCTTGGGGACTAATTTCCCAGGCCAGGGCTTCTCTTAAACTCTGGGGTGAGCCTTTTCTCTCTGATGCCTTGTCTCATGGTTCAGGAAAAAACCCGCGACAACATAATACATGTGTATATGTGAATAAAGAGGCGAACCGATTCCAGTACACAATTTCAAACAGCAACCGGGGCCTCACAGGTCTCCCGCCCCAACTCACCCAAATATTCTTGGGCACAAGCCAGTTTTAAAGGCCAGGCTAGTTGTCCCCGCCGACCGATTTAAGCCTGGTGGGTTGGGGTTCGGATTCTCTATCCGCCAGGATCCTGCCCCAGCCCGCAGTCAAAGCTGCCAACTACCCAGCAGAGAATTTGGAAAAGCCCGTCCTAGCTGAGAGCGCCTGGCAGGCGCAAGGGCTCCAGTGTCGGTGACCTCCATCCGAGAAGGCAGGGAGGGAGAAGGGAAGTCTGAGCGTTGAGCGCGCAGAATGCACGTTCAAAGCCCGACGCCCAGCTGGACGGTAGAGAGGGTGAGAGAGCGGCACTGAGCGGCCCCAGTTACCTCGGAAAGTCGGGACTGGGAAGAGGAACCAAGACCCTACTAGAGTTGGTTTCCTCCCTGGACCGCGTGGCCTGGGCTCGCGGATAACCGGAGCCAGGAGGGGCGGCGTGGGGCTGGGCCAGAGCCGAGTCCTCGGGTCTGGGAGCGCGACCTGCATGACCTCCCTGCCACTGGGGCCGGGTGCTTCCAGCCGGGTGCTCTGGCAAGCGCTGGCCAGAGTGGCCGGGGAACAGACAGATGATGAATTTCCTCCGGGAGAGTTTGCTGTGCACTGCCCTGGGCGCTCGCCCTGGGTTTTAGGAGGTTCGCGCCTGGAGACAGACGAGGACAGGATGTCTTACTGGATCACCGGCTATGGGCAGCCGGCGGCCCGCGGCCAGGAGCAGAGGTCGCGGCGAAGTGGGCAAGGGAGGCACTGCCTGCGTACTCCTCGCGCTCCGCATTTGGCATTTCTGCGCCTAGGTCCTTTTCCTGTCTCCAGTCTGCGCGTTATGCGGGTTCCTTTTCTGGGCTTATTCTCCCAAGTAGCCCTGAGGCTCGGCTGATCTGGGATTGGCCAAACCGAGACCTGTTTTCTGACCTTTAGAGCAGTGGCAGAGACACATTTCCGCGAGGAGCCGCGCCACAGGCGCGAGTGTGCCCTGCACGCCCCGCAAGAGACAGCCGGGTTGAAACCTCTCTCGCTCCCTTTTCGCGCCAAGCGTTTGGAAAGACGAAAGTAAACCTGGTCGCCCACAGCTCGAGCCTTTCCGTGACTTCTTAACCTTTGGAAAGTGAGGCTCCCAGTTCGGGAGCCTGGACTCCTCCTAGTCGACAGACTATCCGCGCGGCCCAGTGATCGGCCCGGTTCCGTGCGCCTCCCAGCAGTCCGTTTAGCGGACCTTGACCAGCACTGCAAACGCGACGGGCTCAAGAGAGACTCTGCCCAGGCAGCCGAAGATGTAAATTAAATTCCACCAGTGGCGACCCTGTGCGCCCGGCGGGCGAGCCGGCGCAGGCGGCGGGTTGCACCCTGGATGTTGGAGCCGCCGGCGGCCTAAAACCCAGCGCGGGCTTCTCTCCATGTCACCAGGGGTTGTTTTTTTCCCAAGATGGGACTTTTTTTTCCCCTTTTTCTTTTGGACAACAGGACGAATTGGTCTAAGAGACGGAAAGGTGGAAATGAAGAAGAAAGGGTAAAATCATGAAGAAGAAAAGGATTCACGGGGAAAGCTGGGGCAGGATAAAACTGTTGGAGGCAGAAAGTTAAAGGAAGGACCTCGGAAGCTAGGCGTGCCCCCCTCTTGACCTGCCCAAACCAGAGCGGGCTAAGGCAAGAATGTAGTCTGAATGCTGCGGGGATTAGGGCAATGGGAGCCCCCAGGACGCCTTGGAGACCGCCTACCTGACTGCAAATACCAGGGTAAATTTTTAAAATCGAGTCCTGCTACAGGTGAGGCGGAGGTGGGGGAGGCAGGTAACGGACAAAGCAATTTCCTCCCATCGAGTGGACAAAAACACCCGCCCCTGGGAGGCTTGTATTTTGAACAGCGACCTGATGACCCCGCTGACCAGGTGTAGACAGCCTCAAGTCCTAAATATTTGCATTGTCCTAACTTCCCATTTGCCTGGGATTTTAGCGCCCTTTCACTCTGTGTTACAGTCAATTAGTGATTACTTAGCACCCGCATTAGCAGGCGACCCAGAGAGTGCCCGGTGATGCGGAGGGGACGTGGGGCAAAGAGAGGGAGGTTGCCCTTGCAGTCCTGCAGGAATGGAAAATTATTTAACAGGGATTAACCTTTTTTCCCCCTCCATTATGTGTGTGTGTGTGTTTAATCTCGTTGAGCTTCTTGTTTTGGGCAGGGATGGTGGATATCTGGTGGATTTCTCTGGCTGGGAAATTTGTGGATGGGGGAGGGTGGGTGAATTTGGATGAAGGGACCTTGTGCCATTTATTTCAATTAGGGAGATTTATCAGGAATAGAACTGCCAGGCTTTGGAAGGAATAGACTTGGAACCAGTTTAGCTGATGAGAGGAGGAAAGAAGTAATATTGCCCACTCTGGGCAACTCAAGGCTGAAGCAGCATTTCACTGTGGCAACACCAGATTCGTTTCTGTATACACTGCTGGGTTTGGAGAATTGGATCTGGTGGGGGTTTTACTTCTGTAGTGATCTCTGCCTTTTCTGCCTTCCTGGAATGAGGGTTAAGGATGACTATAGTACACGTGGGAGCAAACGGGGTCCACTGCTGTTAGTAAAATTCCAACCTGGCTTGGTGGCTTGAAAAGGCTTCCTTTTTTCCTTCCTGCTTTGCTCCTTCCCTTCTCCCCATCCTTTCCTCTCCCTTCCTTCCTTTTGTGAAATCTTTGTAGGAAGGAACATGGGGTTGGGCAGGAGTCACAGCACCTTTCTTTGGAGGTCACGCATCCAGCAGGCTGCAGTATGGTGAGACCCGTCACTGTCACTCACCCTCTGTGGAGGAGCTGTGGGAGGGAAGTGTGTGGCAGGTGTGGGACAGTACCCACCCGCCAACTGGGCTTCTATTGTTTGCAGAAGGAAAAAAAAATCAAATACAAGTATGTGCTGCTGTGAGGTTTGCCCTATATTCAGTCCTCAGTTTTATAGGAGCCCTGATCAAAATGGAGTACAAACCAACCATTTTGAGGCTCTGTTGTTGGGGATAGGTGGACAGGTTAATTGGCGAAATTGAAATTGATTCTCCCTTAGAAAATGTACTTTGGGTAACTGTATTAGTGGCCAACTGGGTAATCTTCCTGGGAGCCCGGTCCTGATGCCTCCTGTTATTTTGGTGCATTTCTTTTCTCAGGTCTCCCCACCCCCTGCACTGGCAGTCTGGCACACCTCACAGATGTTTTACTGCGGTACCTCACCCCCAAATGCCTTTAAAGTATAATTTGCTTTAATTATAATGTTAGGGGGTTAAGGGATTGGTTCTGGGAATAGCTTAATAGAGATAAAACTTGCAGCCAAATTAATTGAAAGTTTCTTCTTATGAGGGAGAGGCTGCCAAACACATGGGCTATTGCTACTGCATGAGACATCAGAAAACTGCATCGTGGAGATTTAGCAATGATTAAATGTGAAGATGGAGTGGAGACAGAGATGTGCCCACAGTATTTCCATACACTCCCATGTATTCGCTTAGTATGATTCTTCTGTTTTATATGCAATTACTGAGAATATTTGATATCCTGCTGAAGGATACTAATTCTATGACATTCTATCATCTGGAAAATAATCCTGTCCCTCGAAGTACATATTGACATTGTGTATTTCTGTTGCCACCAGACACCTTCTATTAAAACATTCTCCAAATTACAGTCCTGAAATGGTAGCATTGAAGTGATCTCCATCACATTTTTGAATTGGCTCTTTTATTGAAGAGGTTACTGTTTTTGAACTAAGCACAAGAACAAAGGAGATTTTCAGAGGGGCCCCAGACGAGCAGAGCAAGTAAAACAAATAGGATCTATTGTGGGACAGATTCTGGGAGTGCAACAGAGAAAAATGACAACCCAGGTATGGTCATTTCCAGGTGTGAAGCAGGACTTTCTTCTAGATGCTAGTCATTTGTCAAGACAAATTAAAAATAAAAGACCCTAGAAATTAGACAAGATGTGTGTATATTGATGCTTATTAAGCATGTAAGTGGATATAATTATGATAGAGAATATGATTGACCTTAAATGTAATACCAATTTTTAAAATTAGGATTTTCAAACATTTCCTGCTCTCTTTGCTTAATGCTGTCTGTGGTCACCATCACAAAATACCATAAAGTTCAATTGAATGTTTTCTCCTTAAGTTTTTAAGTATTAATATTTGATTTTCATATGTAAGCAGTGTTATTTATTTTTGTGAGATTATGAAAATCACTTAAGGGAGATTTTAGAAGACATTTTGAAAAATTATTTTATGATCTCTTCAAAACACCCAAGTTTAGAATAAGTGCAAAAAGTTTTTTAAAAAAGGAAACCACAAAATGAACTAAAAACCACTACAAATGAACTGTCCTTAATGACAAAGAGCCACGAAAGTCATCTAGTCAGGTTTCGTCATGGGTAAAACCAAGTCTTGGATCTCAGGCTGTCCCTCTGTGTAAGCAGTGCACAGATGAGCCAGTCACAGCAGGTGATTCAAAAGGAAAGTTGTGACCAGAAAACAGGATTTTATTGTCAGGGGTGATGTCCCCTTTGTGTTGGAAAGCTTTACTTTTGAAATATTTATCTAGTGATGGAACTTTAGTTTCAATTTAATTGTACCTCCATGCTGATTCTTGGACATACAGAACTCAGGGGTGCGTTTAGGCAGGTGTGCTAGGACTTGACCTGTCCTGGGGTCTTGGGCCATTGATCCACTGTAGGGCTAGTCATTCACCGCCTGAGTCCCCACTGAGAGTACTTCCCAAACCTGCTTTTTAAAACCAGCCTCCTGCTTTCCTCCTGAGGGGCTGAGGCCACCCAGCAGCTAGGTCTGCCTGCCGTTTTCTCCCCCTTACATGGGAGGAAGGAGTCCAAAATTCCAAGGAAAGCATTTACACAGTATTTCAATTGAACACGTGTTTCCTTAAAGCCCCATTTGGCTTCTCCTACAGTCAGTGGTCAGTAAAGAAATGTAAATAAACAAAATGAAGTGTTTTGGCCAAGTGTTAATTAAGCTCAAAACCCACTAACTCCTGGAGCGAAGTCACCTGCAAAAGGATTTGGGGCAAAACTCCCAGAGAGAGACGGCTCTGGTGAGCACTCGTGGAAACCCTGGTCTTCAGTCAGCCCCAGAAACTGCCCCAGAGAAAGGAAGTTTCTTTTCCCCTATTCTGCCCCAAACTGAGTGCCCTTGGGGAAGCCCCTTGTCCTCATAACTTTCGCCTGTGGACAATGTCCACTGCACGGGACACTGGGAAGAGCGAGTGAGATGTGAAGGTATTGACTGTAAAGTGATGGTGATCCTAAGGTACGGACCAGGGTCACCAGGGGTTCCCATTGTGCAGACAGAGGGGACTGGAGCCCTCCTGTGTGTCCTGAGAAGATGGACGAGCCTAGCAACAGGGGAAGTGGGATCTGCCAACAGGGAACCCTGGAAGCTTCGCCCACTGTCCCAGCTCCCTTTCTTGAAAGCAGCTTTGAAAATCTTGTCCCCTGAGCATTCGGCTGTCAAGTTCAATTACAAAATAAATTTAAAAAATAAAATTAAATTAAAAAAAGAAAAGAAAGCAACAAAGAAAAAGGAACTCTTTCTTTAAAAGACAGTTAAGAAGCCATGCCTCAAAGGACTCCAAGTCCTGGTGGTACGTCAAGGTTCAAATTTTACAAGATATTGTTCCAGTCTCAGAGCAGAGTCAAATAAACATCATTCCTATCTGTACAAAATAACCTGTTTTTTTTTTAAATAGTAAACTAACGCACCAGCATCATGATTCCAGTGGAAATATCTGAAACCAAGATCCGTTTTCCCAGGGAGGTGCACACTTTTAAATACATTTTGGAAACCGGGGTCAGGTGTGTTGATTCTGGCTGGAGGCTCCTTAGTGGAATTCTTTTTTCCTTCACCCTGTTGATCTTCGGTGGCCAAGGAGATAGAAAATGCCACTTTAAAAAAAAATTAAAATCGATCAAATAAACACAGACCCTCTGTGAAATGTTTCATGGTGGCTCCTGGTTCCTCAAGAGCAGTTTCTTGGAAATGAAGAAACGTGAGCAGGGAATAAAAACGCACAGTTCTTATTAGATGGCACCAGGGGGTGGGAGCAATCTGGTCTGCCGCAGGCCACATCAGACCTCTTGATCCCTTCCGTGTCCCAGCTTTCTAAAACTTCTACTGGAGGAACTTGGGGACTTAAAAACAGAACCCATTTTCTGGCAGGCCACTCTGAAAAATGCGCTGAGTGCAACCTACTGCAATACTTCAGGTTCTCTGAGGGCTCTGTGTGGGTTTTATGGGCTTCCCCATGAAGAAGTGGATTATGGCTACCGTCAAAGGGTCTGGGCCATTTCTTATCAAACAAGAATGAGTTACTTTTCCTTTGAACATTTAGATGTCTCCAGGAAAAATGCTAGAAGCCTCAAGTGTTCATTTGAACCCATTTCCCTCTTACCTAGATGCATGACAGCAACAGTGGGTGACATCAGGCAGTCGATGACCTCAGCGTCTGTTTTCAACACTCGAGGGTACGGAGGGGACCAATGCCTGGCAAATTTGCCCTCGATGTGTAGAGAACTCTGCCAGATTTCTTTATCCTCAAGAGAACACACCTTTGCAATGTTGCATTAATCGGCTGTTCATCCACTTGGGTGATGTTAATTAGAAAGGGTGTACACCTGGATATTTTAGATTTAAGAGGGTAGAGGAGTTTCCAGGGTTTTGGTGGGGGCAGGGGGAGGATAAGAGCTGCATTTTGATA